AGGCTCCCAGCAGCCCGGAAGCAGAGACCAGGGAGGAAGAAGGCCTTAAGAGGCCCCCAGGCCTAGTGAGGAGTCAGGAGGGGGTTGGGTGAGTTCCAGACTCAGACTGGGGGTCACAGCTGACCACAGGCTTCTTGGATTCCCTGGCAAAGGAATGAATGACATGAAAAGGAAATTCCTTCTGGAAAAGAAAACATTTTTGAGGGTTTTTTGGTCTCATCTGATTTCAGACCCATGGTTTCTTTCCTGAGTCATGGAGAAGGACATTTGGAAAAGGGGTGGAGGTGGTCAGGAGTGAAAGGCATCCTCCCACTCCCATGTCAGCAGAGTCCCCACGGATGGTCAGGCTGGGAGCCTCTGGGGCAGTCTAGTTCCCTGCCCCAGGCAACTCTTGACACCAGACAACCCCGAATATACACTGTTCTAAAAAGAGTTTAAAGGGGAAACCAATTCCACGGCTCATCTCCCTCATCTTAGCCTGAGTCTCTTCAATGAATAACTTTAATCAATGCTTGAATTTAAAAACAAAATAAGTAATTTGGGACCAGCAGATGGTGTTATGGCTGTGTTGCTAGACTCCCACATAGTCAACTGTGGTTCTAGTCCCAGACCTGGCAGCTTACAACTCATGCCAGGCACACATGCATGCGTGCGTGCCCAAAATCCCAAGAAGAGAATGGAGGAGAAAGGATTGCAGTGTGGCCATTCCCTCCCCCTTTGGGGTGATTTCTCACTTTCTGTTTCTTTGTCTTTCTAGCAAACACACACATCTTATAGCAAAAATCTCTTTCTTTAAAAACAAAAAGTAATTCGATAAACATTTACTGATCCCTTACACATCAGGTACCTCTGGATTTGATTCCCAGCTCCATGGCTTATGACCTTGGGCAAGAGAGTGAGTCTCAGTTTATCTACAAAATGAGGATATTCATGAGCCTACAAGACAGAGGGGTTGGGCCAAGGGGGGTAAGAGAGGCAAAGACCTTGGCACCCAGCAGGCATTCCACAGATGGGAATCCCTGTGTGCCAGGCACTGTGAGGGGATGGAAATCAAAAAGCAATGCCTCTGGTCCTTCGAGTTCACAGTCCTGTGGGGGAGGAAATAGAGATGCGATGAATCAGCACGAAGAGATGACAGCTACAATGGCCAGTGCCCACGGCTCAGGATGCAGGAGAGAGTGACCCAGGGAGTCCCTGCTAACGCCTCAGTCCACGATCCACCATGCTTCTCAGACAGTAACCAGCACAGGAAGCCCCTGGACCTTTGTTAAAATGCTGACTCCAATTCAACAGTTCTGGGTGGGCCCGAGAATCTGCTTTTCTTTTCTTTTTTTTTTTTTTTTTTTTGAGGGGGGGGGGGGGGGGTATAGGGCGCGTGCGCTCCCTGAAAGACAGAGAGAGACAGGGAAACAGAAAGCGAGAAATCACCCCCCCAGGGGGGATGGCCACACCGCAATCCCTTCTCCTCCATTCTCCTCTCAGGATCTTGAGCACGCATGCACACGTGCTCAATGTGAGTTTAAGCCACCAGGTCCAGGACTCGAACCACGGTCAACTACATGGGAGTCCAGTTATGTAGCCATTACGCTAACTGTTGGTCCAGAGAGTCTGCTTTTCTTCTCAGTTCCCAGGCAGTGGCTGAACCATGCATCACACTTTGAATAGTGAGGGTTAAAAATGGAGTCCATACTGAAGTGGTTTTTAGCCATTTTCAATCATGACATCTCTTTATTTAAAAAAAAAAATTTAAATTTTTGCCATAGGGCATGTTCACTCACTGGAGAGAGAGAGAGAGAGACAGAGACAGAGACAGTGAAAAGGAAAGTGAGAAATCATTCCTCAAGGGGATGGCCACACAGCAATCCCTTCTCCTCCACTCTCCCCTTGGCATTTTGGATATGTACACACACATGCCCAATGTGACTTTTGAGCTACTGGGTCTGGGACTTGAACAATGGTCAGCCATGTAGGAGTCCAGTGATGTAAACACTACGCTATCTGTTTGACCCCCCCCCACACACACACACACACACTTCTTTTAGATTGCTATAGGACGCACACACTCACCAAGGAGAGACACACAGAGAGAGAAAGCGGAAAATTCCACTCCTGCCCTGCCCAAGGAGGGGATGGCCACATGCAAGCCCTTCTCTTCTTGGGATTTTGGGCATGCAAGCACACATGACTGGAGTGTTTTTTATGCTGCCAGATCAGGACTCGAGCTAAACAGTTGGCCACATGAGATCCAGCCACCTTTACTTCCATGCCAACTGCTAGGCCATATTTTAAATTTTTTTTCAAAAATAAGTTTAATTTAATTTATTATGATCATTTAATTTGACCAGAGGGAGAGAAAGAGAAAGAGAAAGTGAGAAAGCAAGTCACCAGGTCTGGGACTCGAACTGCCGTTAGCCATGTGGGAGTCCAGTGCCTTAACCACTATGCCACCTGCTGGCCCCTTTTATTTTCTAAGTTTTTTGTTTGTTTGTTTTGTTTTTTATAATTTCTTTCTTTCATGAGTGAGAGAGAGACAGACACTCCCTCCCCCCACCATCGCCCCCACTTCCTGCCCAGCCTGTGGCATGGTGGTTATGGCAGCTGGACCCCACAAGGCCAACTACATGGTCAAGCCCTGGACCTGGCTCACAAAAACACGCTGGGCTGATGTGCACGCGTGCCCTAAATCTCAAGAGGAGAATGGAGGAGAAGGGACGATGGCATGGACACGCCACGTGGCGAGTGCTCGTTCCCTTTCTCTCTCTCTCTCTGGTGAACACTTGTGCCCTCTAGCAAATTCAAAATGAGTAAATAAGAAAAAAGACAGCACCCTTCCTAGTTCTTAGGCTGTGATCCATGGCCAGCCCCTGCTAGCCCCAGATCATGGCACTAGAGTACCTGAGCCTATTCAGGGAGGTCTCTGGACAAGAACCCGGAACCTTCTTTTGCAGAACATCCCAATTCATTGCTGCACCATCACTTGGTCAGCACAGATGTGTTTATGTCCATTTCACGGCGACTGTGCCAAAGTGACTGTCATAGCCTGTCATCTGCGCAGCCTGCCTGGGCCTCTCCGCAGACCCCAGGATCAACGGAGACACCTGGTGACTCCTGTGCCCACTCATGTCCACGGCCTCGGAGGTGGCTATTTATTTGCCTTCTCCAGCCTTCCCTTTTCTAGGCCAAATCTTTCTAAATGCTTCAAATGTTTTCACATCTGGTATTTTGTAATGAATTCCCTTGAAAAGGTCAGAGATTTATGAAGAAGAAGTTTAACTATGAATCTTTTGTTAATATAAACTGTCTTCATTCCATCTAAATGGTAGAAGAAAAGTTGTACTGGAAAAGATTAGAATATCTTGTTCACTTGCCATAAAACGTTGATATCAATGAATAGAACGTTTAGCTGACTACAAATGGAGTAAGAAATGCCACCAATTCAAAGATTACTTTAGATAAACCACTGCACCAGAAAACAGGAAATGCCCTAAAACTGTATGGCGCGTATGTGCAAGAAACTTTGGTGGAGGTTTCTCCCAATTTGATAACAACCCTGGTATTTATATGGCACTACATCTAGTTGAAATAAACTTTTGAAACTGTCAATAACTTAAAAAAAAATTACAACCAAGGGACAGCCCAGGTGAATAAGGTGGCTGGACCCCATACGGCTGAACCCGCAGTTCAAATTTCAGACCCAGAAGCTTGAGAAACACAGTGGAAGCAGGTGTATGCCCAAAATCTCTGGAGGAGGGAGAGATGGAGGAGAAAGGATTGTGGCTTACACATCCCCCGGGGGGGGGGTGCTTTCTTACTCTCCCCACCCCTCCTTGGTCTTTCTCCAGTGAATATATGCATCCTCTGGCAGAAATAGAAAAAATAATAATCTAATGAACCATGCTAGAGGAATACTGGGTTATCTTTTTTTATTCTCTTAAAATAATTGTTTAATATAAAGATACAAACAAAGGTAGTATAGGCAAAAGATGTAGGAAAAAAGCTATTACAGAGGGTCATGGACAGTTAACATAATTAGATTATCTTTCAGCATTTTGTGATGTTTGTGATATGTTTCAAAGTTTTTTCTAATAGGCTATGATTTTTATTTCAAATTCTAAATAAATTCTCCCTTTTCACTTTGCTAATTGTGGTTGTCTATTGCTTCTGTAATATCATTTAAGGGAAGTTCTCCAAATTGCATGAGTTATAGATCCAGTAACACCTGAATGCAGCACGTGGACACTGGCGTCAGATCTGGGCTTAAATCGCAGCGCTACCACTGGCTGGCCGTGCGCTGGGTGACCCAAGACAAGTTTCTTTACCTCCACGAACCTCCTTGAACCTCGGTTTTGTCCTCTATCAGAAATGTCATATCTATCTTGCCTGGTTGTCTTGAAGATGAATGAGGTACCGTATGTACATGTGTGTGGCCAGCTCAACAAGCTCGTGGTAGACAATGAAGACAGGCAGAGGTCCGTCTGAGGTCACAGAGCATGGGGGATGTTCTCCAGGAAGAATGCGGGTTTCAAGTTTATATTAACAATCTTCCTTCCTTCCTTTCCCACCCCTTTCAAGACAGGAAGTAAAAAGCAAGCTCAGATCATCCCTGTCCTAGGAAATCTGCACTAGCCTTTACTCTTCACCAAAGACAGGTCACGCGTCGCCAATGGCAGGCCACAGAGATGTCGCCCCCCCCCCATCCAGCCTGGCTCCTTCACATGGAGAAGGTGACATAAGCTCCCTCTGACGGGGCCTGTGGCAAACAGTGAATCAGATGAAATGAGGAAACACTCAGCCTTTGCTGAAGTCATGTATTGGCTACCAGTTCAGTGTTCTTCGCACCAACTCACACCGCCCAGCTTTCTCCTCCTCTTTCCAGTCTTGTGGCAGTGTCCTTAGAAGCATTACCTATGTCTTCTCACAAGTGGCCCTATAGGCTAAGTATTTATAATCCCCATTTTGCAGATAAAAAAATGGAGTCTCAAAGAAGTGGCGGATCTTACCTGCCAGGAATCCGGGTCTGCCCAGTGCCAGAGTTCAGGTTCTTAATCCAGCCAACTGCCCTCCTTTCCGCCAGCCGTGTCATGGACCCGGACTTCGGTGTGTGCTGGAGGAGGGAATGGAGAACCATTAGGTCCCGGAGGTTCCACGTGTTCCTTGAACCCTGGCATTGCCCTGCTGTACCAAACTACTCCCATTCCCCCTATCCTGCCTCGCTGATTCACTCCTTTGCTCTCAATACTCTCTGCAGAGTAGACCTAAGAGCCCTCAGGGAGCCACACGTTCTAATCTGGTTGGGCCACCATCTTGCCCTCAGGAAGGTCAATGGCTTTCTCTCTGGGCCCCATTTGCCACAATTTAAAAATAAGGTAGAGGGGGACCAGCAGTTGGCGTAATGGCTATGTTGTTGGACTTCCACGTAGTCGACCACGGTTCGAGTCCCGGACACGGTGGCTTAAACTCATGCTGGGCGCATGTGCATGCGTGCCCAAGATCCCGAGAGGAGAAGGGAAAAGGGGAATGTGGCGTGGCTATTCCCCCCCCACCCCAGGGGAGCGGAGTGATTTCTCACTTTCTGTCTCTCTGTCTTTCTCTGTCTCTCTGGTGAGCGCATACACCCTGTAGCAAAAATCTCTCAAAAAATAAAAGAAAGAACCTCACGCTGGGCTCATGTGCGTGTGTGCCCAAAATCCCAAGAGGAGACTGGAGGAGAAGGGACTGTGGCATGGCCATCCCACCCAGGGGGTGTTTCTCACTTTCTCTCTCTCAGTCTCTCTGGCAAGCGCATGTGCCCTAGAGCAAAAACTAAAATAATAATAACAATAACAACAATATAGGAAAGGAATTCTTCCAGCATCCTTGGCAGTCCAGCATCCTGCAAGGGGGCCTGGCCCGTGTACACGGAATGCAGGTAACCCAGCGTGTTCTTGCTGACTCCCCCCACCCCTAGCAGAGCTGCAATGTCCTCTGCTTATGGTACCTCATGCAGGCTGCAAGGTACAGGTAGGGGTTCCCATGAAAGGGCCTTGGGGTTAAGACAGCCTGCTCTGAGTCCCATCCCATTCCGTGGGCTCTGGTTACGTGGCCTCGGGCAAGCCCTGAACTTCTCGAAGCCTCCTCCTCCATAAAGTGGTGGTTGCATTAACGATTTCCCATGACATGAAGCTGTGAGAATCAGCCATGGGGCCCACCCTGCAAAGTGCCTGGAACTGTGCTGAGGACTCCACATTACCATGTACGACGTCCCCAGGCCCCCTTGTCTGTTTTAAACCCGATTTAGAACCTTGAAGGAAGAACTTCAGAGGAAGAAGACTGAGCCAGAAAGGGCAAAGGGGCAAGGGATATGGGGTGTACAAGGTGTGACTCCAGATGGCTGACTACGGCTGGGCTGGGAAAGGGAACGGCCTCCATGCCCATGTGTGTCTGGGCAGTGCTGATGAGAGGCCGGGCTGGAAAATGCTCGAGAACACGAAAATTCCCAAAGACGGAATCACAGGTATTTCTGAAACGCAACCCAAGTGTTCTGTCTCAGCAGGCAATGCCAAATCCCCAAGCTAAAATAGTCTTTCTGGCGCCCTTCCTAATCAGAATTCTGCTCAAAGCCTCCACCTCTCCTGGCCCCTGAAAGAGCAGCTCATCTGCCCTGAACCCTCTGAAACAAACAAACTGATAAACCATAAGCAACATTCCCACCATTCTCTCTCTCTCTCTCTCTTTTTTTCTTCCTTTTTTGGAGAGGTTTTTGCTATAGGGCGTGTGTGCTCGCCAGAAAGACAGAGAGAGACAGAGAGACAGAAAGTGAGAAAGCACCCCCTGGGGGGATGGCCACGCCGCAATCCCTTCTCCTCCATTCTCCTCTCAGGATCTTGGACATGCACACACACGTGCCCGGCGTGAGTTTAAGCCGCCAGGTCCGGGACTCGAACCATGGTTGACTACGTGGGAGTCCAGCAACGCTAATAGCCATTACACTAACTGCTGTTCTCTCTCTCTCTTTTTTTGGAGAGGTTTTGCTATAGGGCGCGTTTGCTTGCCAGAAAGACAGAGATAGAGAGACAGAAAGCCAGAAATCACCCCCGGGGTGGATGGCCATGCTGCAATCCCTTCTCTTCTATTCTCCTATTGGGATCTTGGGCACGCATGCACACATGGACCCAGCATGAGTTTAAGTCACCAGGTCCGGGAGTCGAACTGCGGTCGACTACATGGGAACCCAGAGACGTAGCCCTTATGCTAACTGCTGGTCCTCCTACTGTTCTCTCTTTCACTTTTTTTTTTTTAAGAATTATTATTATCATTATTATTATTTTTAAATTTGCTACAGGGCATTATGTGTGCTCATGGAGGGGGAGGGCGGGGGACGTGAGTGAGCAAAGGCTGCCAAGTCCAGGACTCAAACTGTGGTCATCAGCCATATGGGAGTCTAGCACCCCAACCACCTTGTTACCCATCGACCCCCATTCTCTCTTTTTAAAATTCTGGCATTTATTTATACAGCAGTCCCTCAGTATTTGTGGGGGATTGGCTCCAGGAGTCCCTCCCAAGAATACCAAAAATCCACCAATGCTTATGACCCTTATATAGAATGACAGCATTTACACATAGCCTGTGCACATCTTCCTGGCTACTTTAAAGCATCTCTAGATGACTTATAACACTCAATATAATGTAAATAATTGTTATACTGCATTGTTGAGAAATCAAGACAGGAAAAAAAAGCATGCACTTGTTCAGTTTAGATCCAACCATACTAGGCCTAAATACACCGTAGGCAGGTTCCAGCAACAGTGTAACATTTGCCATATGCAGTTGGTGGGTTGAATTACATGTGGATCTTTCAAACATGGAGGGCCAATGTAATAGCAAAAAATGAAATTGACCAAAAGGCCCAACCACAGAGAATTCATTTAAAAAAAGTATAAGGTATGTAAATGAGATTGTTACACTTTTATAGAATATACTACTAAGCCCTGAACTTCTCGAAGCCTCCTCCTCCATAAAGTGGTGGTTGCATTAACGATTTCCCATGACATGAAGCTGTGAGAATCAGCCATGGGGCCCACCCTGCAAAGTGCCTGGAACTGTGCTGAGGACTCCACATTACCATGTACGACGTCCCCAGGCCCCCTTGTCTGTTTTAAACCCGATTTAGAACCTTGAAGGAAGAACTTCAGAGGAAGAAGACTGAGCCAGAAAGGGCAAAGGGGCAAGGGATATGGGGTGTACAAGGTGTGACTCCAGATGGCTGACTACGGCTGGGCTGGGAAAGGGAACGGCCTCCATGCCCATGTGTGTCTGGGCAGTGCTGATGAGAGGCCGGGCTGGAAAATGCTCGAGAACACGAAAATTCCCAAAGACGGAATCACAGGTATTTCTGAAACGCAACCCAAGTGTTCTGTCTCAGCAGGCAATGCCAAATCCCCAAGCTAAAATAGTCTTTCTGGCGCCCTTCCTAATCAGAATTCTGCTCAAAGCCTCCACCTCTCCTGGCCCCTGAAAGAGCAGCTCATCTGCCCTGAACCCTCTGAAACAAACAAACTGATAAACCATAAGCAACATTCCCACCATTCTCTCTCTCTCTCTCTCTTTTTTTCTTCCTTTTTTGGAGAGGTTTTTGCTATAGGGCGTGTGTGCTCGCCAGAAAGACAGAGAGAGACAGAGAGACAGAAAGTGAGAAAGCACCCCCTGGGGGGATGGCCACGCCGCAATCCCTTCTCCTCCATTCTCCTCTCAGGATCTTGGACATGCACACACACGTGCCCGGCGTGAGTTTAAGCCGCCAGGTCCGGGACTCGAACCATGGTTGACTACGTGGGAGTCCAGCAACGCTAATAGCCATTACACTAACTGCTGTTCTCTCTCTCTCTTTTTTTGGAGAGGTTTTGCTATAGGGCGCGTTTGCTTGCCAGAAAGACAGAGATAGAGAGACAGAAAGCCAGAAATCACCCCCGGGGTGGATGGCCATGCTGCAATCCCTTCTCTTCTATTCTCCTATTGGGATCTTGGGCACGCATGCACACATGGACCCAGCATGAGTTTAAGTCACCAGGTCCGGGAGTCGAACTGCGGTCGACTACATGGGAACCCAGAGACGTAGCCCTTATGCTAACTGCTGGTCCTCCTACTGTTCTCTCTTTCACTTTTTTTTTTTTAAGAATTATTATTATCATTATTATTATTTTTAAATTTGCTACAGGGCATTATGTGTGCTCATGGAGGGGGAGGGCGGGGGACGTGAGTGAGCAAAGGCTGCCAAGTCCAGGACTCAAACTGTGGTCATCAGCCATATGGGAGTCTAGCACCCCAACCACCTTGTTACCCATCGACCCCCATTCTCTCTTTTTAAAATTCTGGCATTTATTTATACAGCAGTCCCTCAGTATTTGTGGGGGATTGGCTCCAGGAGTCCCTCCCAAGAATACCAAAAATCCACCAATGCTTATGACCCTTATATAGAATGACAGCATTTACACATAGCCTGTGCACATCTTCCTGGCTACTTTAAAGCATCTCTAGATGACTTATAACACTCAATATAATGTAAATAATTGTTATACTGCATTGTTGAGAAATCAAGACAGGAAAAAAAAGCATGCACTTGTTCAGTTTAGATCCAACCATACTAGGCCTAAATACACCGTAGGCAGGTTCCAGCAACAGTGTAACATTTGCCATATGCAGTTGGTGGGTTGAATTACATGTGGATCTTTCAAACATGGAGGGCCAATGTAATAGCAAAAAATGAAATTGACCAAAAGGCCCAACCACAGAGAATTCATTTAAAAAAAGTATAAGGTATGTAAATGAGATTGTTACACTTTTATAGAATATACTACTATATTATTTAATGATTTATATATATATTATCATATATAATACTGTACCATGTATTATATATTGTGATTGAATATTCAAAGCAACAATGGGGTCCAGCAGGTGGCTTGGTGGTTAAGGTGCTGGATCCCACATGGCCTACTATGTGGTTCGAGTCCCAGACCAGTGACTTCAAAATCACACCAGGCACATATGCGTGCATGCCCAAAACCCCAAGAAGACAGTGGATAGAAGGGACTGCAGCATAGCCATCATCCATGGGGGATTACCTTC